AATCATTTGAGCCCTTACATTAGAGTCTATGCTGATTGCCGAGACACAACCCAGTCTGAGTGTCCTTGTGTTCAGCATGACCCTGGCACAATGTTCTTGTGTACAGCATGACCCTGGCAGAGCACCTTGTGTTCAGCATGTCTCTATCAGAATGTTCTTGTATTCAGGATGCCCCTGGCAGAGTGCCCTTGTTTTCACCATGACCCTGGCAGAGTATTCTTGTCTTCATGTCCCTGGTAGAGAGTTCTTGTGTTCAGCATGTCCCTATGAGAGTGTCCTTGAGTTCAGCATGACCCTATCAGAGCGTTCATGTGTTCAGCATGTCCCTTCTAGAGTGTCCTTGTGTTCAGCATGGTTGGCGACGTACACTGTACGTCGTCAGTCACGAAGGGGTTAAACCAAAAATTGCTTTTTTTAAAGCCCATCTCCAGGCAAACCAAAACACGACCCTTGCAGTGGGACTACCCCCACACCGCAAGGGTTAAATGCTCATTTATGTCTAGGGGCCCGGAGTAAAGCACTTCTACTTACCTGATCTCCACTCCCCAAGCGCTGGCACTATCATCTCTCCATAGGTCTATGGAAGCTGCGGTCCGGAGCCAAGGGGGGAGAAGAGTCTGCGGGGACCAGTCTACGGAGATCTGGTGACGTCACGGACATCGACGTCACCAGACTCCTCCCCCTTCCCTTCGTTAGCCGACAGAGCCACTTGTGCAAGGGGGGAGGGGTCCAGTGATGTCGATGTCCGTGACGTCACCGGATCTTCGAGGAACTCCCGGAAGACCCGGAAGCCGGCAGAGAGGCGAGTACCGATCAAAATAATTTTGATCGATCAAAAAAAATTAACGATTAATTGAGGGATTAATCATTAATTTCCGCAGCCCTAAAAAAAAAAAATCCTTGATTGGGCAGACTTGCTCCTGAATTTCATATTCACTTGTCCACCCGACACAAACACGTGTTCCTTTAAGGAAGACCTGGCGGTGCGCACTGAAGTACCGGTAGTATGATGAAAGTTATTCTTTACCCTAAGGAGAACTATGGGGAAAAACACTGACCCCATAGTTCTCTTTTAACACACGACCTGCAGACATGGCCTCAGATTTCATCGATTTTCATCATTCACGCTCGCTGAGCACACATTTCCTGGCAGCTTTGTAACACAAGGGAATATTTACAGAGGAGCTAGTAAAGTACATTACTCCCAGAGTTTACCTAGCACAGCCCTCTGGCATTACAACAGTTAATAATGAATGTTCTAGTTCCAGCTCTAAATCATGTTATTTCTTTATTATTTCCAAACAATGACGGTGCTGAACGACAGGCTGGTCAACATCTTACATATACAATATTTGTTACGGAAACCCGGACCTTCGAGGAAATGTGAATTTCCAAAACTTGTGAACATTCTTTATAACTGTAGTGATCCATTCAATGGACATATGGCGGGGAACCAATCAGTCACCTGTGATTAGTGAGCTAGAACACAGTGGATTGATCTGTGGCACCTTGTTTCACCAATACAAAGGTACTGCGGGGGATAGAAGATACTCGCCACACTGGACTGGTAGAACACAGTGGAGGGAATTCATCAAAACTGGAGCAGACAAAATCTGGAGCAGATTTGCACTGCAACCAATCAGCTTCTATCTCTCATTTTCAAATCCAAACTGAGCAAACTTAAGAGAGATGCTGATTGGTTGCCATGGGCAACTGCTCCCGTGTCTCTCTGCTCCAGTTTTGATTAAATTCCCCTCATTGGAGTATTTGGATGGAGAAATCCTCCAGATGTCCACAAGATCGAAATTTCAGGTACCTGCAAAAGCAGTTCTGATCCAAGTAAGGCTTCATTCACACGAGCAGCGGACTTTACTGAGCAGCGGTAGAGTAGCGGCTTGCAGGCGGTGATAGTGCCACCTACTGAATTATTTTTTTCCCCCTTTGATCCCAATTGGGAAATATACCACACCAAGTACACGGCACACAGTTCTATTCACCTCAATGGACGCATTTGGCAGGTGCCACTGCTTGCCAAACACGACATGCTGTATCATTTTTACCGTGAAACACCGCAGCCATGTGTAGCGCACTATCCAGCTGCAATGCTAACGTGTTAACGTACGGATAAAGAGGAAATGTCTATTTCAAAACATGGAAACATACTGGAGGGAATTTATCAGAACTGGAGCAGACAAAATCTGGAGCAACTGTGCACAGCAACAAATCAGCTTCCATCTCTCATCTTCAAATCTTACCTGAGCAAACTGAAGAGAGAAGCTGATTGGTTGCCAACTGCTCCAGTTTCTGTCTCCTACAGTTTTGATAAATTCCACCCTCTGTGTCCATCTAATCCATCGCTCACATTTCCAGTTTGTGAAATTATCATTCCCACCAATCTCTTGGCGCTCATGCACATGGGTGCATTTAGGGACATGCAATGGCAAATGGCTGTGTGTGGGTATACGCCAATGGCACTTAGGTAAACCTGTGTAAAGCGTACGGACATATTCCCAAAACGCAGAAATATGTCATCTCTATTCAGTTGTGTATCCCGGGCACTGAAAAAAGACAAAAATTACATTATACGCCCCTAAATGCGTCCACATGCGTGAGCCCTCATGTCACAAATTCTGCACCACAGGAATCTGCTGTTACCTTGGGAAATGTGATCATCAATGCCGAGGAAATACAGAACAGTATGGAAAGCAAATCTGAACACCAACCGGGGAAGGAGGGGGGACGGGGGAATCTGGAGGCTTATAAACACTGCAAACTGGAGTTCCACCATAAAGACGTCTATATGCCGCCGTTTTCCATTTACCGCCACAAGTTCTCAGCGTTTACAGAACTTCAGAGTAACAAAAAGCAGAAGCAAAATCCCCCCTGATCTTTTATACAGTTATACTTAACTTACACATTAGATTCAAAAACAACATTCATAATTAATCCGCCCATTGTTCAAAAACAGACGGACGGTAAAGTCCCATTGGCGGGTTGCCGTAATTAGACGGCCTTTTTCTTCTGCTCACGTGTGCACAGGCAGAAAAAAACACGTCCGTTCTCCAGAGCCGTTACCGGCTGTTTCACATACAAACGATCGGCGGCTCTATAGCCACCAATCGCTTGTATGTTGCGGCTGCGCGCCCCCTCCTAAAGTGGTGCCGCCACCGCCTCCCCTCACCTTCAATCCCGGGATCTGCTACCCCATCTGCGGCCCGGGACCGGCTTGGGAGGGTGTCGGGAGGAAGCTGGGAGTTCAGCCTCTTCCTCCTTGCTGATCTCCCTCCGTACTGTGAATGCGGAAGTGATGTGTCTTAGAGACCACCAATGTCTCCATAAAGAGGACCTGTCAGTGTTCCTGTGCTGTCATATAGGGGATTGTTATCCCCCTATGTCATAGCAATGACATTAAGTGTAAAAAATAAAAACGTTTAAAAAAATAAGTCACATATAAAAAAAGTTTTTTTTAAAAAACAAAAATGTTTAAGTCCCCCACCCCCGTGTTTACACACATATAAACGTAAATACGGGTCAGATGCGCGAAAACGACAATTGCGCTACACATGTTACATATCGCATAACGTCGGAGTGAGAGCAAAAATTTTAGGGCCATTAATCACTGATGTGGAAAGCAGGTGCCGCCGACGGAAGGCAAGGGGCAAACAGCAAACCTCCGGTGGAAGGCAGGCGGCAAACCCCGTCCGGAGCTAGGCGGGGGGCAGGCGACATACCCCGGAGCTAGGCGGGGGGCAGGCGACAAGCCCCCGGAGCTAGGCGGGGGGCAGGCGACAAGCCCCCGGAGCTAGGCAGGGGGCAAACCCCGGAGGAAGGCAGGGTCTCTTAGTGACCCCGGTAGAAGGTAGGTGCTGTCAGTGACCCCCGGTGGAAACTACAGGCTGGCAGTGACCCCGGTGGAAGCTACGTGCTGGCAGTGACCCCGGTGGAAGCTACGGGCTGGCAGTGACCCGGGTACACGCAGTGACTGCTCTCCTCACATCCCGTTATCTCGCATCCTTCTCCTCATACAGTGTATGTGTCTCTCTCCCCCCACACCTCCTCCCTCGTCCCCCATCATCCGCCGGGTCTCACCTCTGCCGGGTGTCTCCCGGTGCTCACGAGTCCCGTCAATGTCTCCAGCCTCCGCCTCCCGCCATCTTGTGTTTGTACCGGAGGGGGAAGAGGGGGGAGCGCGCCCTGTCACGTGACAGCGGGTCTCCAGACACGTGGCTGGAGCTCCGGCAGACGTCACTGCTATGTATGTGATTCTGGAACGGCCGAGCTGTCAGTGTCCGGCCCTGTGAGGGGTGACAGTTCAATGTACCGTCAGGTGTCCGGCCCTGGTAGGGGTGACAGTACAATGTACTATCCGGTGCCCGGCCCTGTGAGGGGTAACAGTACATGTACTATTCGGTGCCAGGCCCTGTGAGGGGTGACAGTAAAATGTGCCGTCCGGTGTCCTGCCTTGTGACGGGTGACAGTACAATGTACCGTCCAGTGTCCGGCCCTTTGGGTGACAGTACAATATACCATCAGGTGTCTGGCCCTTTGGGTGACAGTACAATATACCATCAGGTGTCCGGCCCTGGGAGGGGTGACAGTACAGTGTACTGTCCGGTCCTGGGAGGGGTGACAGTACAATGTACCGTCCGGTGGGAGAGGTGACAGTACAATGTACCGTCCGGTGTGCGGCCCTGTGAGGGGTGACAGTACAATGTACCGTCCGGTGGGAGGGGTGACAGTACAAATGTGCAATGTACCGTCCGGTGTCCAGCCCTGTGAGGGGCGACAGTACAATGTACCGTCCGGTGTCCGGCACTGTGAGGGGTGACAGTAGATGTACCGTACGGTGTCCAGCCCTGTGAGGGGTGACACTACAATGACAGGACAGTACAGATATGAACAAAAAGCGCCAAATGAGACTGCTCCACCAGGATTATGGATATGAAGTGCAAAGTCTGTTTTAAAAGAGAAGCATGTGATGGAAAATCTACAGGACGCTGCCCCAAACCAGCCAGGGGGACTGCAAAATCTGGGGAAAAAACACAAACAAGGGGCGCCTTTCCTGGTGCAGAGAAATTTATTTAGAATAAAAGCAATAGTGAATAGGAAACATACTCACAAAGGTCGACATGATTACAGCATTGTAAGTGAATACATGGACCAAGGAAGAAGCCAGTGATAGCTGCACAGCCGTGTCTATGTGCCAGCAAGAAAGGCTGTGATGCACAATGACAGGACAGTATAATATACTCTGTGAGGGGTGACAGTACAATGTGCAGGCCCTGTGAGGGGTGACAGTACATGTACTATCTGCTACCAGGCCCTGGGAGGCGTGACAGTACAATGTACCATCCAGTGTCAGGCCCTGTGAGGGGTGAAAGTACCATGCATCACCTGGTACCCAGCCCTTTGAGGGGTGAAAGTGCATCATGCATCACCTGGTACCCAGCAGTGTGAGGGGTGAACGTATCGTGCATCACCTGGTACCCAGCCCTGTGAGGGGTGAACGTATCGTGCATCACCTGGTACCCTCAGCTGCACATGGGAGTCACTCGCTTTGTGACCCCAACATTCAGAGAACAACGTGGGCTTTTCTTTGTGATTGGATGAGGTGGAGAGGAGAGGCGGATGATATCACAATCTCCACCTTGTCCAATCAGAGTACGCCTTGTAGTCACTGGAAAATGACAAGTGATTGTAGTTGAAGGAACCTTGATGCACGTCATGAATTCAGTTTGGTGGAAACATATTGAGAGCCCCAATACCAGAATCATAATCAGAGCAGTTACCAGGACAATGTTACAAGCTCTAAAACCAACTAAAAAAACTAAAACCAGAAGAAAAGTAACAAGATCCTTCACCAAATTACCAGAACCATGCTTAGAGCCAGATTACTATCAGACCAAATCACTACCAGACATCAATATCACGGCCATGATACCTGACTGTGGCTAGCAGAATCATTTTTTAACATCACAATCATAATACAAGATGCCAACTGATGCATCTTCTGTGTACAGGCAGCAACAACATAAAAATGAAGCTTAGGGGTTGGAGACCTGAAAGACACCAAGCAAAGACCAAATAACATTAGTTCTGCTGGCAAAATGTGAGTCCTAAATGGAGCAGAGGCCTTTCTTGCTATCTGCTTTGCCAGCGCTACAGGGGCTGACTGCGCTCAGCTAACTTATTCACACTAGATACAGGCAGTCCCCGAGTTACAGACATCCGACTTACATACGACTCCTACTTACAAACGGAGGCTATTACTGTACAACAGGGGTAGTTGTAATGCTACCGCGCTCGTGCTGACGAGGAGTGCCCGCCTTTTTGGGTCTGGTTTGTAGTACTGTACGTACCTTATAGGACGTTGACTCTTGTTAGTTGTGTAGATGAGGAGAGCCCACCTCTTCTTCCGGGTCACTGTGAGGTTTTACTGCTGTCTCTATCATTAGAAAGATTTCATCTCACTTCCTGTCCTTGATACAACAGGAAGTGAAAGGAAATCTACCCCTAGGTAGGAAATGATATGTGTAATCAAATACTAACTATATAATTTTCCGGAAACACTAACAGACAACGTAAAGAAAATCGAACCTGCTAAAAAGAAGCTGGTGTGGTACTCGTTATCAGTACCAAAAAGCTTTGTCAAGGAACAAAACTGTAAAACCTTAAGACTGTCCATGGAAAACAGGGACAGATGGCAAAAATGTTCCAGACAGTTATTCAAATGTGGCTACGGTAAGTGGATGGTGACCACACACTAGCCACAGAGGTGTCATTGCCAATTGCAAAAAAGCTGTTTGAAACCATAACAACGGGAAAGGTTCACATGGGGAGAGCAATATACAAACAAGAATTAAGGGGGTCCCCAGCACACATTCAAACTAGCCAGCAAAACACCTAAGTAACCCATTTTAAGTACAGGTTTTAGTGGCATACACTTGAAAGCCACCCGCCCCATCAAGGGACCGCTAACAAAGTGTGGTCCCTAACTCTAAATGATCTGAGTTTCCCAACTATGGAAGTGGAAGTCTTCAGTAGCGTTGTAAAGGGGATGTCTGAACTTCTGGTGTATTGCTGTAACTTTAAGGAAGGGCTGCCTGTATGTGTTCCTGCTCTCTGTCTGTGCATTGATACATGAGTCCCTCAGTTGGGAAAGTTAGAGAGTTCAGAATAAGGGACCATGTTCATCAGAGGTGCCTTGATGGCAGTGTGGTTTCCACGTGTATTTGCAAATGTATGAAACTGAAACTATTTTTAACCTACCGGCGGCTAGTTCAGAACTGTGCTGGAGATCCCCTTTGTACTGTATTGTGAATGGCAGACTTCATGAAGGATACACTATCATGTGTAATCATTTTTAATCCTGAACACAACAAACTAAGTGTTCAATCACTTCAGAGCACACAAATGTGTGTGTAAAAAAAAATGATTCTCAAAAAGCTCTTTTTTGGCAACAAAATGAGAAGTATTTTGCTGAAATGTAGACAAAACTTTACCAGGAAATACAGTGGAAGCAAAGACACCAGCAGTCAGATATTAATTGATATGAAATTACCTTTCCAAAAGAGACATCCTTCCTTATCTGAAGAGTCTTGAATGTGCTGTGTTCAGTGATCAGCTTCGCTTAATGAGCCCGCACTGAATGAGATGCTTGTGTCACTGTTTTCGGACTAGCAGTGTGATGGGGAAACCCTGTGGTTTTGAGAACACGCACCAGGTCTTTGTAACATGCTGAGATTACAGTTAGGAGGTGGAGGAAGTCTTCTTGTACACACAGACATGCCACTTTCTGCTCATGTCCTTGGTGAGTGTTCTTGGTCCACGCTGGGCTGGTTCCTTTCCAGGCCTAAGGAATGTTCTTCTTGGAAAACAAAAAAAGGAACAGCTGCTAAAACTCTTAACCAGGTGCTGGCAGGAAAGAGGCAGAGGTTCAAACAGCTGAAAAATGTCATGTTTGGGATCATTATGACCACAGAGAAAAAAAAATACTTGGCTATGCAGTCAAAAAGGCTAGTAAGATGCTAAGAATGGCTAGCAAAGTTGGTTAGGTGCTTATAAACTAATAATAACAATAAATGAAATGTAATCCAAATGTTTCAAACTTTTAAAACAAAACCATTTAAAAGGATCACATTGTTTTGGCATGGGGTATAGTTTGATCCCTCAGGGAGTTCTTACTGCTGCCCATAACATCAAAGGAAAGGCCTTCTTCACCCTTGGCTTGGCTATAATAGCTTGATATAAAAGCGGAGCTCAGCCCATTTGTCACCAGCCCTGATTTATCCAAATGTTCTTATCCAGAATCTAATAGTGGGTGAATGATACAGCATGTCTACATAGTGAGCCCAGTTCTGTAGGAACATACATTATGAAACAAGGTACATGAGCTGGTGGAAAAAGTAGATTAGCTAATACATTGAGGTCATCAATTCACAGTTCTGTTGGGTATGAAATGAAACTGAGCATGATAGTAGGGATTCCGTGAGTTTTATTTTTCCTCAGGCTTTGTTTTATATATAT